GCCTGCCACAAAGAAGTCTCTTTACCTTTTGTATACGTGTTATATTATTGTCCTAGAAAATATACAATTGCAACATTTACCGAAGATATTGCTATCATAGCAATATGCAAAACCAGCGAGGAAGCGACAAAGAAATTACATAGATGTTAATCAAATATATACTCCAGGGAAATAAGCAAAAAATAGACCATGTTCGTGACACTCAATAATCCAGTTCGCTGACAACTTTTTTAGTTATTGTAGACCTATAGGAAGAAAACTTACTTGTTTCTTGTCTTGAATTTGGAGCTGTTTTTTAATTATTGACAATTTAATGCAAAAAACGCGATTGTTTCTATGATTATTGATACTAGTAATAAAAAAATAGATTTTTGGAAGAAAATTGTTTTTGCACGAATTTATTAATTAATTAATATATAAACAAATTACTAATTTCTGATGTACGTAGAAATTACATACAAATTAAAAAAAAATGATCAAAATCCATTGAGTAAATCCGGAGATATAGAAAATTTTATTAGTTTGAAATTGCTTGTTCGGTATGGATTTGTAGGTTCTTCCTAGTCACCATTTGAACTACATTTTTGAAAATTCGTAGAGGGTCCTGTAAAGGTACAATGTTTGTGCAAATTTTTTAACAAAAAATACAAATCCCATTCCTTAACATGGCATCAATGAGGTTCCTTAATTATTATAATCTAATTAGCTGTGAATTATCATCTTTTCTTTGACTTGATCTACTACTTGTTGTAATGGTCGTAAAACACTTCCCTTGTTGTTTGAGGCTTATTATTTTCTGGCCATATACTCCGATAATGTTCTGGTTTTCCTTCTCCATTCTTATCTTTGATGTTACTATTCTTTCTGGTATGTATTGACACTCTTTGATGTAATTTTGATACCTTTGGTGTATTAGTAAGGCTACACCTTCTTTGGCCCTGTTTTCTTTTGCTACTCCACTGTAGATTTGTATGTATTCACCTAATTTTGATTGACCTTTTCCTTTATTTTTTGTTTGCTGTAGAGCACAAATGTCTATTTCTTTCTCTTTCAACACTTGAGTTATTTCTTGGTCCCTTGAGTTGAGTGATCTGATATTCCAAGTAATTCTCATCTGGGTTTTGTATGTTTTTCGCTTGGCGACATGGTATTATTCAAACACTTAGTCGATGGGGAATAAAAGGTAATATAGCACAATTCATAAAAAATTTCCTATCTCATCGAACTTTTAATGTACGAGTTAACGGTACTTTATGTAATACAAAAATTAAAAAAAAACGGATATACCTAAGGATCTAATTTAAGCGTCACCCTATTTCTTATTGCAATAAATAATATTATCTCCACTTGTGATTTACCAGTAAAAGCTAGACTCTTTGTCTAGCTTTTACTGGTAAAAGTCAGATGACTTAATCGTTTTTGTTAAGGGGTTAAATAATAGAAACCTTCAGACCCATCTACAGAAAGTGCTATGGAATCTCGAAGTATGGACAAATTCCACAGGTTTTCAATCATCAACAACAAAATCAAATACAATGTTAAAAAAAAAAGAAGTTATATCACTCCATAACTAAAACTTTAATAAAGAAATAAAATATTTTGAGAAAATTAACTGTCTAGGCATGACATTTGACAATAGATCCTGGAACCACCACATTCATGATCTAAATAGTACGTGTCAATCTGCACTCAACATTATAAAAACTGTTGCAAACAACCCGTGGGGAGCTGATAAAACACTGATCCTTATGTACAAGTCATTGATCAGGTTCAAACTCGATTACGCTTGTATTATTTATGATTCAGCATAACCATATATCATAAAACAACTCGATTGAATACAAAATAGTGATTGCGAACCATAATAGGTGCCTGTTATACTAGTCCTACTGAATTTTGACACTGTGAAGTTGGGGAAGTCCCCCTGGATTTCCAAAGAAAACAACTTTCACTAACATATGCGGCATCAATACAGGCAAATTCTTTGAATCCTGTTAACCACTATGTAAATTCAGACCGTTTTAGGAATATTTTTAAAACATATGCTAGGCTTGACCTTCCTTTTTATGAAAGGGTACATATAGATACCTCAATGAATTTGAATTCAATTACAAGATACCTATTGTATACCAGATATTAACAATGTTCCCCCTCGGACTGTTCCCATCCCATCCGTCAATACCAAACTCTCCATATATACAAAAGCAGATAATCATCCTAAAGCATTATATCAATATGTTCTCCAAGAGCTTAAGACATACAGTAACCATAATCTTATATATAGGTACTGATGCCTCTAAAACTATAGATGGAGTGAAAGCAGCATTTATGTCTAATAAAACAAAAATATTAATGAAACTCCCTAAATTAACATCCATTTACACAGCCGAGTTAACCGCTATTCTCAATGCAATAAATTTTGTCATAAAAAATGGTATCAAAAATTCTGTCATTACTACGAATTATCTATGTTCTGTAATTGCTCTAAATAACTTATATCCTAGCCATCCATGTCTTCTACTTATTAAATCAGCCTTAAGCCAACTGCAAACTATGAACATAAATGTTAACTTTGTATGGATTCCTTCCCATATAGGAATTGCTGGTAATGAAGAAGTAGATTCCTTGGCAAAACTAGCAATCTCGAGTCCAGAAGCTGTAGAAATCAGAAGCATTCCACATCTAGATCGAGAAGTAAAACATTCTATATTACCTTGGAAATCAACTCCAAATATGCGTAAACATCAAACCATCCTATCTCGTCTGAGAATGGGCCACACCACCATCACCCATAAACATCTGCTGGAAAGTCAATTAAAACCACAGTGCCATGTATGTGATATTGTGCTCAGTGTTCGCCATATTTTACTGAAGTGTCCTTTATATTGCATAGAGAGACTTTGATATAAATTACAAGATACCTTACAGGCAATATTAAGTGAAGGAACTGATATGAAGAATTTTATATCACACTTATATTCCATAAATGTACTAAATAAATTGTAAAACTTTAAATTGTACAACGCCAATGACCCTATGAGGTTGGGGCATAAATAAATAAATAAAAATAAGTATGTTCCGTTGCAGCAAACAATAGAAATACAATAATTATTGTTGCCCTCATTCATTACCATTCACGATTCACGGGATCATCAAGGGATCACAAAAATTAAATCTACTGCATTTCGCGAATAATAAATTTTAGTGGCATCTGAGAGCAGATGTTTAAAACTTGTGTGTATATTTATAGAGTTCTTTCTAACTCCCTGTGATATTGATGTCGCCTGAACATAGATGTCGCTGGCAGCTACAAAACGAATTAACTAGAAAAAACCAGGGATGCTTAAAAAGATATACATATTATTATATATTATGTAATAAAATTGGAATAATAATTGTAATCTTTGAAGTGATAAAAAAAAGAAATTAATGTGATAAATTAATCAAATATATATTAATAAAAAAATCAATTAAAATTTTTTAATGAAAAAGTTTTTGAATTACGTAGGTAATAATAAAAAAATATAAACCTAATTTAAGTATCAGCTATAAAACTAAGAATGATAGTCTAATAAAATTTTAGAAAAAAAATATAGGTAATAAAATTGATGCAGTAAGATACAGGTTAGATGTAAGATTTTCTCCCGAGGAAAATGTTTATAACTCAATATTGGAAAAACAGGAAACCTACTTGAGAAAAAATTGAAGTTTCCAGAATAACACAATTACAAGCAAAGACTATTAAGATAGGGTGATAATATATACAGTCATTATTGTATAAACTTACATTGAGTTATTGCATTTAAATTACTTTGGTTTATACCTATTTAACCTTGGTTTGTTCTTGATTTTGTAGCCATAGGATAGGTGGGTTTAAATTAATTGTCTTAAAAATACCTAATTTAAATTGACAGGCCTTGATTTTTCAGTATTTATATTTTATTAACTTTCCTTTCATTTAATAGTCTTGTACACTTGATGTTACTGTCATAGAGTATGTGAAATAATTTTTTTTGATTTAATTTTAAGACCCCTTAATATTGTACCCTTCTTTGCACCCGTAGGATATTTTTGTTTTAATATCTTCTAATTGGTTTAATATATCGCTTAAAATAATTATTGGTTCCCTTACATGAGGCACAAATCATATCAGTCGTAAAGAAGGTGCAAAAATGTAAATCCTATATCAAAATCACCCTCAAGACCCATGACCTTCCCCCCCCCCCCGAAAAAAAATCTGGTCCAATATCAAAATCCCCCTCGAAAGATCCATGACCCCTCCTGACAAAAATTTCTGGATCTACCACTGTGTGGCTCTCATTAATCTTTTTCTTTTATTAACAAGATGTTATAAAGTTTACAGGACATACTTGGTTAATCTTTTTGGTAGTAACTAGTGACAAATTCTTGAGACATCAGCTAATAAAACAAAAATTCAGTTAGTAACTAAAACTCTGACCGTCATGTTTTGATCTGGGTAAATCGCATAGTAGTTAAGTTAAATTTGGAAAACGTGGTTCAGTACAGAAGCAGTGCTTTTTTTAATAACTTATTCTTAAACATCTTCTTTATGTGCAAAAATGTCAAGAAAATATATTAAAAAGACTATCAATCCTGGTGTCGAAAGGAAATATTCAATAGAAGCATTAGAACTGGTTATACGAGATGTGAAATCGGGAAAATCTTCACTAAAGAAGGCTGCAGTGGAGCATGACGTACTAAAATCGATACTTGGATTAAAAGTGAAAGGTGAAAAGGTAAACCAGCGACAAGACATGCACAAGGTAATAACAAAATTAGGTACCTACTGGATTTTACTTTTAAAAACAATCAAATTCTATTAGAGGTGTGACTGGAGGTGGTAGAACTGTCCTTTCTTAAGAAAATGAAGACATTTTGGCTTGTCGGATAAAAACTATGAGTAAGTGGGCGTTTCGACTTTTTCTCGCAAAGAAATACTCAATACTTTACAGTTATATGTTCAACAAAATAATCTGCAAATGCCCTTTAGAAAGGGGAAGCCTGATGAAGATTGGTTTTTGACATTTTCAAAACGCAACCGACTTTCTATTAAGAAACCTGAGGTAATTGAAGCATCACGTGTAAGACAACAAACTGACCCATTTGTTGTTTACGATTTCTTTGACCAAGTGGAAACTACTATAAATAATTTACAACTTCAACCATATCCTGCTAGGATATAGAATGCAGATAAAAAGGGTTTTAAATATGATCCCAGCCGTACTAAGGTTGTAACTGTAATCGGAGAAATATCAGAAAGGCAAACTGCAGGCTCATGTTGCGTTGTCTTTGGTAGAATATGTGACTATCCTTAAATTGCCGCCACATAATTCTGCATTATTGTACCCTTTGGATGCGTCTGTCTTCAAGGGGCTCAAGTATTCGTGGGATGCTGTAACAACAGATTGGCAGCGCAAAAGTTTAGAAAAAACAGCTAACAAAGTGCGAATTGTCCAACCTTTTGGGAAAAGCTTGGCGCAGTATTGGAGAACCTGTTGTGGTAAATGGCTTTAGAAAAAGGTATTTTTCTATTAACAAAGAAAAGTTTTTTCCCGAAAAGTTAAAACGATATTATGAAGAGAAGAACATTCATGACACTATCACTGACGAGCAAAGTTCTACAGGCAAGTAAACTACCAACTCATGTACAACATCTTGCAGCTCTATTACAGAAAGCTAGAATTCTATTGCATCAATTTCCATTGCATCCTGGGAGAACGTTCCAATAGCAACAGTAAAAGCTTCTCCGAAGTTAGAATAAAGAAAGAGGAAAAGTGATCACAACTAAAACCTTCTTCTTCAAGTGCCGTCTTCGTTCCGAAGTTTGGCTATCATCAAAGCTATGCGTATTTTTGATGCTGCAGATCTAAACAGTTGGTAATTGGTGCAATTGTACCAATCTCTCAAGTTTTTCAACCATGAATGCCTTCTTCTTCCTATAGATCTCTTTTCCATTATCTTTCGCTGGATAATCAATTACAGCAACTGGTATTTATCTCCCCTCATAACATGTCCCAAATATTGTACTTTGCGCTTTTTAACAGTAAGTATCAGCTCTTTCTCTTTCCGCACTCTCCGCAAAACCTCCACATTTGTTACTTTCTCTGTCCAGGGTATTCTTAATATTCTACGATACATCCACAACTCAAATGCTTCTATCTTTTTGGTATCGATCTTTTTCAATGTCCACGTTTCCATCCCGTAGAGGAGAACTGACATAACGTAACATCTCAAAAGGCGAATTTTAAGTTTTAGACTTAGATTTCTTCCGCAGAACACCTTTTTCAATTCAGTAAATGTGGCTCTAGTTTTCTCTATTCTGGTTCTGATTTCTTCAGAGCAATCATTATTTTCGTTGATAACAGTTCCCAGGTAATTATATCTTCTTACACTTTCGATTCTTTGATCATGCACGGTTATGTCAGGGAAGTTTTGTGGTGATTTAGATATTAGCATTATTTTTGTTTTGCTTATGTTAAGTGACAATCCGTGTTCTTCACTGCATTCTACTATTTTGTTAATTAGTATTTGAAGATCTTCCCAAGTTTCTGCGATTAGTACCGTGTCATCGGCATATCTCAAGTTGTTTATTCGGATGCCATTTATCTTAATACCTATATTTTGATCCGAAAGTGCTGTGTTTATAATGTCTTTGGAGTATAGATTGAATAAGGTCGGTGAGAGTATACAACCCTGTCTTACGCCTTTCTTGATCTCGAGTTCCTCCGTTGTCTCTTGCTCTATTCGGATATTTGCTTTCTGGTTATAGTAAATCTTAGAGATAATTCTAATGTCCCTTTTATCCAAGTTTTTTTCTACTAGCAGTTTCATTAAGTGATCGTGACGAACTTTATCAAACGCTTTGTTGTAGTCAATAAAGCATATATATATATATATATATATATATATATATATATATATATATATATATATATATATATATATACTATACTTTTAATGTATGCCCATTAAGCTTATAGTGCGATATTCAGTGCACTGTTTTGCATTTGCCTTTTTTGGTAAGGTTACAAAAGTTGAAAGTAGCCATTCCTTTCGTATTTCTCCTCTTTTGTAGATGCAGTTAAAAAGGTCGAGTAGAATATTCACTGATTCGCCTTCCACAAGCTTAGAAGTTCTGATGTGAGCCCGTCTGGACCCGGTGATTTACCATTTTTCATTATTTTTATAGCGTATAATAGTTCTTCTTTAGTTATTTCTGGCCCTTCGTCGCCTTGCAAGTTATCTATATTAGGTTCTTGTCTTTCATCGTCGAACAATTCTTCTACATAGTTCTTCCAGGTCCTAAGCTTTTCTTGTAGATCGGCTATTATTTCACCATTTGCGTTGCATAGGAGATTGGGATGTTTTCGTTTTTGTGTACCTGTCAGTTCCTTTATCTTTTTATGTAAGTTAAAAGTGTCATGTTTGAGATGTAGTTCTTCGATTTCCTCGCATTTTCTTGTATAAAAATTTTCCTTTGCAGTTCTTATTTCTTTTATGATTTGTTTGTTTACTTCATTATATTTTTGCTGCATTTTCCCTTTAACTGTCTTCGCTCTTCCATGAGACCTAAAATTTTTTCTGTTATCCATTCTCGTCCTTTTTTCTGTTTCTCTTTGGTAAGCATTTTCTGGGCAGGTTTTATTATGGCGTCTTTTAAATCTTGCCACTTGTCTTCTACATGCGTGTTCTCTGTCTTTATAGAAAGCATTCGTAAGTTATCATTGATATTTTGTTTTAAATCTTCTTTAATTGTTGGATCTTGTAAGCGGCTGGTATCTATGTGATCTATTTTTGTTTTATTTGAAGGTCTTTTGAGTCTAATGTGTACCCGCGCTATCAGGGGGTTATGATCTGAAGAAACATCTGCGCCTGAATAAGCCTTAACTGATCTTATACAGTTTCTGTATCGCTCATTTATTAAAATATAATCTATCTGATTCCTAATTGTTTTTTCCCTAGTGTGTTGAGGGGACGATGTGTACAGTCTTCGTTTGGGTAGAGTTCAAATACATTCTTACAAAGAATGTATTTGAAATTATCATATCATTCTCTTGACAGAACTCTAAAAGTTTGTCTCCTCTGTCGTTTCTTGCCCCTAAACCATATTCTTCCACATTTTTTCTGCTTTTTCCTTTGCCAATTTTGGAGTTGAAGTCTCCAAGGATAAGTGTAACATCTTTTGGCTTTGTAGACTTTAGAACTTGATTTATTTGTTCATAAAACTGCTCAATCTCTTCATCTGATTTATCTGCAGTAGGGGCATATACCTGTATAATATTAAGTTTTGTAGTTTTTCTATGCAGTTGTAGGAGCAGGATCCTGTCTGACACTGGCGAAAAAATTAGTGACAGACTGTGTCATTCTTCTTGAAACGACAATTGCTACACCATATCTGTGATGTGGGTATTCATTTCCTGAGAAATAGATCATACCGTTGCTTGTCGAGACGTTGCCTGCACCCAACCATCTTGTATCGCTGATGCCTAGGATATCGATGTTTAATCTTTGCATCTCCTGTATAACGTTGTGAATTTTCCCAGGCTCGTACATGCTTCTGACGTTCCCTGTACCAATATTTATTGTATTTTTAACACAGGGATTTCGCAGAATTACGACCTGAGAGGCCCTGTTGTCATGAAGTATACCTCTCCGGCCGGATCTTGGTATCCGGTATCCATGATCAGTACTAGAAATCATTTCGCTTCGCACAGCCATGATAATTTTACTAGAGATATCCCTTAGGATCTTTAATGCAGTGGTTTCTCCTTGCCTTCTGCATCCTTATGCCGTTGACCATTTCTTAGTTCCTTCGCCTTTGAGATCGATTTCTCAATCTCAGGACAAAAGAGTGCCCTTCCATTTACCAGCTCATCCGCCCGAAACCGTTGGCCAGTAATTGATGGACTCCTTATACCGGCAATCATTCGGTGACTTGATTCTATATCAACCCTAAAATCGAGGGTTGCCACTTCCGCCATCCGCACTGTACCGAAGCTCCGCTTCTCCTCCGTGGCCGCCGTTGTCTACTTCATCCGTAACCCTGGACAAGGGACCCTAAACAGGTACTAGTTTCCCGGGTCAGGAAACCCCCGGAATCTTAACTTACGGACTTAACAGTTACAGAATTAAAAAAAAAAACATACAAAATGCAAGTGTCCGAATTTTTTGACCAGGAGTGAATGTATATTATAGTAGAAGTTGCATTCAATTACATTATGTCAAATGGTACAATGAACACGAGGTATAATACACAATGTTGCAAAATCGGTTCGCTTCGCGCATTACGTAGTCAAAAACGCATCTTCGCGCAACATTTGAATGTAGTTTTACAGGAAAGACTTTTAATTTAAAATTTTTTATATAATTTGGCTAATTTAATAATATTAATTATAAAGAGATTATAAAATTATGTAATTACAGATGATACAATATTTAATCATAAATAATATTTTAAAGTTAATTCAATTTTATTGATTTTTGGTACAGTTTTGTTCACGTACATATCCTTTATAAAACAAGTTTGAATTATATTTTATTACACAAAGATACAGGTTGATCAACTTGTACTTCAGAGTTCGATATTTCAGATTTACAAAGATACAAAAAAATTGTATCTACATAAAAATGGTTCAAGTACAACTAAAAATTTTAAAATTATTCTCAGAGATACTAGGTATTCCCATATTTTAATTTGTTAATGATCACTTTGTAATGTAGGTGCACAAAATTTGTCTGGTGCACAAAATAAACATAAAATCAAAATAAATAATGATAAAGTCAACTTTATTGGGATCAGATGAGCTAGCTGGCCATCGAATATGAGTGTAGTGAGGTCACATAATATTGCATAATGTTTTAAATAACATCTTTTGCAATTTTCACACATAAAATTATCTTGGTATTGTTTAATCATGATAATAATATGTAAGCACTACGAGCCTAGTAAGCCCATGACTGATGTACTATTCTTTGTCACTCCATTTTCTTTCCCAGTTCGTTACGTTAAGTCTTCTCATATCTTATTTAACATTAGATTAGATTAAGAGAGGTGGCCTTTCGGGCTATTCCACTGCGACCTTTTCAGATCTATTGTGGCCCTCTAGTCCTAGACAACATTCTCTAGCCTGACCTTCTTTATAAAGTCTAGTAGCTTCGAGACTGTACCTTCCATGTAGCTGTT